CTTCAACGTAATCCAAACAAGATGTTGATATTCCACATTCTTTGTAAAATTCTGTTAGTAAAGTTTCTTGCATAAACGACGATGGATATGTTACTCCTTCTTCTTTATAACCATCACAGTTTAATTTAATGTGCGGACATATGGCATAAATCCTCTTCGCATTCTTCATTTTTTGAAGATATACCACTGACACCGTTTCGCAACGTGAATAACCATTTGCACCGATATCAAAAGGTCTGCAATAACCATCGGGTGACAAAACACCTAAAAAATACGAAATATATGTACAAATATGTGTGAAAGTTCATTCAATTTATACCCAGAAAAATGAAAGAATTATCTTTTCCGTTTATCAAGATGTATTTAATTTTAGCAAAAATCTTATCTTCAACTTTTTTATGAAAGTTAAATTTTATTTACTTTTTTTGAATAAGAGAAGTGTTTCTTTCATTTTATTGAGTATTGATAATTATTAATTATTAATTTTTGAAAAATACCAAGCCTAGCGTATTGTAGGGTTAAACCGGGAACAAAAGTCATGTTTGCAGCTCCAATTATTGCATCCTGGCATATGCCTGACTTGATAAAGTCAAAACCAATGGACATGGCATAAAGACTTGAACTACACGCTGTATCAACTGTATATGATGGTCCTCTCAGATCAAAAAGGTGTGAAATCATATTTGCTATTGTAGATTTACTGCATCCAATAATATTGTTATCTCCTAAATACTACAATTACAGAATCTTAGCGCGTTATAATATCTTGTCCTTAAATAATTAATATAATAATTTCTTATTACTACTATACATATATAATTAATAATTTTCTGTACCTTATCATTATCATATAACAATTTCAATTGTGATTCAATTTCACATGACCCTATGATCACAGCAGTATCTTTTCCTCGTAATTGTTTTGGATTGATTCCCGCATCGACAATTGCTTCATGAGAACATTCTAGTAACATTCTTACTTCGGGCGAAAGTATATGTGCTTGCTCAAAAGATAGTCCGAAGAAATCCGCATCAAATTTTTCCGCATTATTAACTGTTGCCATTCTTCTTGGAATGTCTGGATGGTCTAATAAAGGAATAGATATTATACGTTCACATAAAAAAGGCTTGTTCATTTTATAAGAAATTCAAATTTGTAGTACACTTTTTTGTCATACAAGTATGTAATTATTATACAGGGTGGGCCATTTTAATCGATCCACCCAAATATCTCCTAAAGTAAGCGCTATACAACAAAATTGTTTAAACAAAAGTTTTCGGGCTTCGAGGGGGACACATAAGATGATAACATTGGTTTGACCCTGAGTGGCGTCGTCAAGGTCAGGACAAGGTCATTTTGAAGTTTTTTAATGGAACCATCAATTTTTCATTACATGTTTTTATAGCACGCCTCGAGAACTTTCCAAAACACATAAATAAAATATTTTTTTATGAAATAAATCTTGAGTTATAAAGCTTGAAAGTTGGAGTACTGTCGGCATTAGCATCATCCAAGGTGTCCAAACACTAGTTAAAAATGGCCAAGGTT